ACCACAATTAATTTCTGTTTCCTGCCAACATGATGTCAGTACTTATCCCCTCCAAAAGTATGAGACTATGACTGCTCAGTGGTGAATACTGGACTGTGGTTACTGCTTGAGACATTAGACTGACATTTCACAAAGGCATAGACAGTCAGCATATACCCCACTCCCTGTCCACAGTTGTTTTTCCCCAGACTTGTAACTACAAGCTACAAAAGAACAACTATTACAAGGATATTCCCTTAGGGCATGAACACGTGAACAATCCTGTGTGAGTTAAAAGGGATAGGCTTTATTGTAAATCATATGTTCCACAGTCCCCATGTGGCTGCTTTTAACACAGAATAAGAGGAAGGTAAAGCACAGTAACTTACCATGGGGTAAGAATACACAAATGGGTACCATCTGTGGAGCAACTGATGCTGATTAAAGCCTTGCACTGTCCCCTCCCCGCCCCCTCGGTCGCAACAGTACATTCATACCCTTGGATGCTGAGCTGGCTGACCGAGAAAAAACAGTTATTAAAATAAGGCAACTTTGCACCCAAGTCTTGTAGCAAAAGCCTGTGAGCTACATGGTGAAAGGAAGTCAAACATATGCAAATAAGGTAAGACTTTGAGAAAGGGAAGTTTTCTTTGAGAAGTCTGGGGAAATTGGACAGATTAAAGGACATGACCTGTCTAGAAAGCAGGCAGGCAAGTTTGGGTGCTAGGAGCTTTTTGAATTCCTTAAATAAATGGGGACCAATATTTTTGGCTAGAGTGCCACAAATTAGCTTGGCTCCCTCCCTGGGTACATGTAGCAGCAGCACACCTTATACTGCTGCTACGTGTCCCCAGGGAATGCCCATGCCATACGCCCTCTGGTGCATGGCATGTTACCGTGGGTGGGGTTGGGGAGGCTGTGGCCACAAACTGTGCTGGCCCCAGAAGCCTTGCCTGAGGTCCTAAGGGTCTCTGAGAGCTGCAGTCATGGTGAACCTGCATCAGGGAGCCTGGCGAACAGTTGGAGCTCGGCCCCAGCTGGCCAGGCTCCAGTTTTGGACAGTGCACTCTGTTGCCATGTGTGCTTCCTTGTTTTTTTTAGGCAAGGGTTTTTTTGACCCCAGGATCTCCCCCAGGGTCAAAAAAGCCCCCCACGCTGCAAAGTTGCTGTGTGGGGAATCCCTGCATATATGGTGTTGAAGGTGAGTCCACGGCATCGCATATCACACATTCACGCTCATCTGAATGTAACCCCTAAGTGCAACTCCCTTGCTCAGCCTGCCTTCTGGCATCCTGCACACAGATCTGGGGGTTTGTGCCCCACAGGAGGTCTGCAGGGCTATGCCATATTCCTTTGGGGGACATGGGCCCTTGGATCTAAGTGTGGGGTGACAGCATGCTACCACTGCCAGCAAGTGATACTAGTTTTACTTTGAAGAGTTTGAGGCGAAGTTTCACAAAATCCCCTGCACTTATCTCCTTGAAACTTGGCAGGGTTTATGACCCCAGAAGGGGCTACCATCTCTTCAATTTCCACTTGAATCAGGCAAGAAATGACAAAGTTAAAGGTAGTTTTGTGATTTCCCAATATAGCCTATAGC